ATCATCATCATCATCATCATCATCATCATCATCATCATCAGCATCAGCATCAGCATCATCAATATCATCACCAGCAGCAGCATCATCATCGTCGTCATCGTCATCGACAACATAATCAGCATCATCACCACCATCATCGTCATCATCATCATCAGCATCACCATCACCACCGTCACCACCACCATCGTCAGCATCATCATCATCATCAGCAGCATCAGCATCATCATCATCAACATCACCATCATCAGCATCAGCATCATCATCATCATCATCATCAGCATCAGAATCACCATCAGCAGCAGCATCAGCAACATCAGCAGCATCGACATCACCAACATCGACACCGCCACCACCATCATCAGTATGGTCATCATGACAATCAGCATCATCATCATCATCATCATCATCATCATCATCATCATCATCATCATCATCATCATCATCATCATGAGTATCATCATCATCATCAGCAGCAGCATCATCGTCGACATCGTCATCGACATCATCATCATCATCAGCAGCAGCAACATCATCATCATCATCATCAGCATCATCATCATCATCATCATCATCATCAGCATCATCATCATCATCATCATCATCATCATCATCATCATCATGTCAATCAGCATCATCAGCAGCATCATCATCAATATCATCCTCACCAGCACTATCACCGCCATCATCATCACCACATCATCACCATAATCAGCAGCAGCAGCAGTATCACCATCATCATCATCATCATCATCGCCATCAACAGCATCGTCTTCCTCCTCCTCCTCATCACCTTCAGCACCGTCATCATCAGCATCATCATCACAATCACCATCGTCAATCATCAGCATCATCAGCATCATAATCATCATCATAATCATCAGCAGCCTCATCCTTGTCGTCGTCACCATCATCGAAATCATCGCCGTTATCACCATGCATCCATTCATCACTCAGACCATAATCAGCACCGATATCATCATCGTCATCATCCTCATCAACATTATCTTCCGCAGCCGCAGCAGCACCATCATTGCCACGATCATCACCATCACAATCGTCATCAGCATCATCGTCGTCGTCTTTGTCGTCGCAGTCCCCAATAATATCATCATCCTCATCATCGTCATCATCGTCATTGTCCTGGCCGACATGACCATCGTCATCGTCATCGTCATCATCATCAACATCAGCATCGCCATCATCGTCATATTCACCCTCACCATCACCAGCTTCCCAATCCTGTTCACCTTATGAATCATAATCCTCACGGCCATCTTCGTGCTCCTCACCTTTCACATCCACCCTCCATCCTCTTCCCCCTCACCAGACAATCCCCTTACTCCTCATCTTTATCCGGGCCATTCGGAAGCATCTGGGAGACGCATGAAATAAGAGAGCGTCTAAATGACCTGGTAATACCAAGCGCATCTACAGCCGAAGCTTCGCCGTCAGGAACCTTGAGTAGAAATCTTGGATAATACAATGAAGCCCCATTGGGGACGTTTTTGCGCCTGCATGCGCGAGAAGCGTCGGAGAAGACGTGCGGAAGGAGTCAAGGGACGTCGAGCTCCATTCGAAACTAAACTGGGCCATATCTAAAATGTCAGGTTGTGCTTTCAGCAAACGACCTGTCAGTGTCCCTCGTAGGGTGGTCGATCGGCCTCTCCACCCAAAAAGTGCCCCAACCTCTCAATCTCCCCTTGCCTCTCCCCCTGCCAATCTGGCCTCACACCCCCTCCCATACCCACCATTCCATCATCCCTCGATCCCTTGCCTGGCTCTTCGTCCCGCTCTGCCCCTCTCTCAAACCCCTCCCCCTCCCCCACACTCACCCACGGTCACCCTTCCCTCCCGAGAGAGGAAAAGAAGGAGCGAGGAGGAGGGGAGGAGGAATGAGGAGGGAGGAAGATGGGCGAGAATGAAGGCAGAAGGAATGAGGAGCAATGAGGAGGTGCAGGAGGTCGACTCCACGACGTGACGACGACAACCTCGATGGTGACGACCACTTCGACGGCGACGACGACGACGACGACGGCGGCAGCGGCGGCGGCGACGACGACGACGAAGAAGACAACGGCGGCGGAGGCGGCGACGATCACCTCGACCACCACCAACGACGATGACGACGATTGTCTCGATGACGACCATCCCGACGACGACGACAAATAATAAGACGGCGACGGCGGCAACGACGACGACGACAACAACGACGACGACGATGACGACGACAACGACGGCGATGGCGATGGCGATGGCGACAACGATAGCGGCAGCGACGGCAACGGCAACGGCGACGGCGACGGCGACGGCGCCGGCGACGGCGACGGCGACGGCGACGACGACACCGCCCTCAGCGCCACCGGAAACCGCCGAAAGCCGCTGAAAACCGCCAAAGGCTGCCGAAGGCCACCGAACGCCACCGAAGGCCGCCGAATGCTGCCGACGGCGGCTGCGGCGGCGGCGACGGCAACGACGACGACGACGACGACGACGACGACGACGACGACGAGCGCGCAAGCCCGCGCCAGACGGCGCCGCACGGGCGGCGCGCGCGCGCGCCGCGCCACCCACGGAGCCGAGACGCCTGCTGCACCCTCTTCTCCGTCCTCCGCCCCCCGTCCTGCACCGGGTCATCTCTCGATCGTGATGTTTTCGTTATCGCTATGGCTGACGCCCTTGTTGAGTATCTTTACCGCGTTTTTTATGTATCTCTCTGTCTCGCTCTCCCTCTCACTTTCTCTTTCTCTCGCTCGCACTTTTTCCCCTCATTATGTGTACAGTATGTCCACATGTGTATATATATATATCAGACTGAGAGGGGCGCATGATCATTCACTGCACCTGCGTGCGTGGCTGAAGTATGATTCCGCAATGCGGATTATTATTGTTGTCTGTTGTTTGCGGTTGTTCTGATGCTATTGTTGATGTTGTTGCTGGTGATGTTGTTGTCATTGTTGGTGTTGGTGTTGTTGGCTGTTGTTGTTGAACTCTCACTACTGAAAAAAGTACTGTTGAGCCCCCTTCTGGTGATCCTTGTGATTTTCAACTGGAGTGACACCCGAGGGCTCGCACGCTGTTTTTTTTACCACGGGAAATCACTGGGCTCAAACTGCGCTGTTACAACAACAGCGGCTCCCGCCTGAGACTTCCTCACAATTTAGCAGGACCCCCGCTCCCGCCTCAGACTTCCTCGAATTATCCTCAGGAATCGCGCTCTCGCCTGGGGACGTCCTTACAACTTATTCAGGAATTGCTCTCTCGGCGCTCTGAAGTCGCACTCTCGCTGGAGACTCGCTTGCAATGTACTCAAGAATCGCGCTCCCGCGTTGGAATTCCTCGCCATTTCTTCAAGCGCCGCGCCCCCGACACGCAAGCACCCAAGAGTCGCGGTCACGCTCAGGACTCCCTCACAGCTTGTTTACAAATCGGGATATCGCTGCCATTCGTGGCCCCGTTGCAGTCCTTCGTGGTCCCCTCGCTGCCCTTCGTGGCCCCTCTCGCTGCCCTTCGCGGCCCAGTTGCAGCCTTTCGTCGCCGCCTCGCTGACCTTCGTGGCCCCGTTGCATCCATTCGTGGCCCCCTCGTTGCCCTTCGAGACCCAGTTGCAACCCTTCGTCGCCGCCTCGCTGACCTTCGTGGCCCCGTTGCAGCCATTCGGGGCCCCCTCGCTGCCTTTCGTGGCGCGGTTGCAGCCGTTCGTCGCCCCCTCGCTGCTCTTTGGTGGCCATGTTGCAGCCCTTCGTGGCCCCAGCCTTCCCCTCGCAGCCCCGTTGCAGCCCTTCGCAGCCCCCCTCGCTACCCTTCGTGGCCCCGTTGCAGCCCTTTCGTAGTCCCCGCGTTGCCCTTCGAAGCTCCGTTGCAGCCCTTCGTGGCTATCTAAAAAATACAAAAAACAAAAGAAATACAGAAACTAAAAAAAAAACAATAAAAGAAAAAGAAAAAAAGAAAAAAAATAAGAAAAAAAACTAGAAAGAAAGAACTACAAAACTATAAATACAAATAAACTAAAGAAAGAAAAATATCATAAAAAGAAGAAAAAACTAATAAAAAGAACAAATAAAAAAATCTAAAAAAACTAGAAAAAGAAAAAAAAAAAAAATAAAAAATAAAAAAGAACTAAAAAGGTAAACAAAAAAGAACTAGTGGATAATCCTACAAACTACTAAAAAGCTGCCACCTCCGCGGCCCCAACTATGCACGCCCTTCGTGCCCCCAGCCCGCCGTTTCGCGCCCGCCGTACTCCCATGCGTGCGCGTCGCGGTAAACCCCGCTGTCGCCCTTCGCGACCCCAATCGCTGCACTGCGTGGCCCCATTGCTACCGCTCAAGGGGCCCGTCGTTTGCCCTTCTGCGGCCACTGCATTATCTGCCCTTCGTGGCCCCCGCTCGTTCGCGCTTTTCGCAGCCCCATGGGCATGTCTTTCGCGGACCCGCTGTTGCCCTTCGTGGCCCCCTTGCTGCCTTTCGTGGCCCCATCGCTGCCCTTCGTGGCCCAGCTCTCGCTCTCGATCTCGCTCGCGCTTTCGCACGTCGTCGTCGTCGTCGTGGTCGGTCCCCTGTCCGTCCCTTTTGGGGTCAGGCTGCCGCCTGTCAGCACTACCGCTGGCCAAGCCGACGGTCCGCGGCCGCCCCGCCGCTCGCCGGGGCGCGGCCCGCAGGGAAGAAAGATATACCCTCCAAAGGTGGCGCGATCGAAAACGAAGAATGCGGGCATCGAGGGTTTGGGAAATACACGTTGAATGACGTTCGAGCAAATGTTGTTGTTGTTGTTGGTGGTGGTGTTGTTGTTGTTGTTGGTTGTTGGTGTTGTTGTTACTACTGTTGTGTAGTACTCATTTCTAATGATAAATTATAGCTGATTTCCGGAACGGTGCCGCGCGCTCTCGCCTCGACGCCGGCTACAATTTTCCGGAAAACGAAGCTCTCGCTCGAGCGTCGGTTTGATCCTGAATGTGGGATTTTGGAGGCCCAACTACGACAACAACGGTTCTCGCTCGAAACTTCCTCGCATATATTCAACCCCGGGACACCATGGCCAGAGAGGCCTCCGAACTCAGGAACGGCGCTCTCGCTCCAGATTTCCTCGCAATTCAATTAACTCGGCGGAGGCTCAGCCACGACGGTTAAGGCTCCTGTTCGGTACTTTCCCACGTCTTATTCCGAGAGCCCCTGGCCAATAAGGCCCCCGAAACTCAGGAACGGCGCTCTCGCTCGAAAATCTCCCGTAATCCAGGCAAGTTGGTGGAAGCCCGGACACGGCGACAAGGGCTCCCGTTCGATCTTTCTCCATGAATATTCCGAAAGCCCCTGACCACAGAGGCCCCCAAACTCAGGAACGGCGCTTTCGCTCGAGAATTTGTCGCACTTCAGTCAGTGGCCGACAAGGAAGAGATTCCCCCGAAAAGGGGTGCAATCGAAGACGAAGTGGGCGGGTATCGAGGGTTGGTTGGGGTATACGGAATGAAAGACCGAGCAGTCTTGAAATGATTGTTGTTGTTGGTGTTGTTGTTGCTGCTGTTGTCGTCGTCGTTGTGGTTGTTGTGTTTGTTGCTGTTGTTGTTGTTGGTGTTGTTGTTGTTGTTGGTTGGTGTTGTTGTTGGTGGTGTGGTTGTTGTTGTTGAACTGTCACTTATGATGAATAATTAGGTTGATCCCCCCCGCCCGGTGCACATTATTGTTTCGATTGAAGTGCCCCTCCCGGGGCTCGCATCCTGTTTTTCATTCAAGGAATATCTTGAGAGTCAAACTGTGTCACTGGCACCCGGTTTGCAACAACAACAACAACAACGGCTCCCGCCTGATACTTCCTCACAATGTATTGAACATCGCGTTTCCGCTTTGGACTTCCTGGCAATTTACCACCGAATCGCGGCTCCCGTTTGATACATCCTGACAATTAATTGCAGGATCGCGTTCTCACTTGGGACTTCCTCGTAACTTACCACCGAAAAGATTCGCTTGATATTTCTTTACATTTTAATCAGATGCCGGTCCTCGACACTCAGGAATCGCGTTCCCGCTACATATTGCCTGGCGGTTCAAACACGACTCACGCTTCAACGACCCGCCCGCTCAACCCGCCCGTCGGGGCCTGCCCGCCCGACCAGCCCCTTAATGACTGCAGTCACCGCTCGCTGCCCCTCGCCCGCCTTCGATGCCCCTCGCTGCCCGTGATGGTTCCGTGGTCGCCTTCGTTCGCTGCCCTTCGTGGCCCCGTTGCTGCCCTCAGTGGCCCTGTCGCTGCCCTTTGTGGCCCCGCATTATATGCCCTTCCTGGCCCCCGCTCGCACGCGCCCGTCGTGGCCCCATACGCATGCCCTTCGTAGCCCCGCTGTCGCCCTTCGTGGCCCCCTCGCTGCCCTTCGTGGCCTCTTTGCTGTCCTCAATGGCCCCGCTGTCCCCCCTTGTAGCCCTGTATACGACTGCTCTTCGTGGCACCATGTGCATGCCCTTCGTGGCCCCGATGTCGCCCTTTGTGGCCCCCTCCCTGCCCTTCGCGGCCCCGGTGCTGCCCTCAGCGGCCCCGTCGTTGCCCTGTGTGGCCTCGGATTTTATGCTATTCGTCGCCCACGCTGGCTTTTCTCACGATTTACTTGGGAATCGCGCTATCGCTCGAGACTTCCTCGCGATTTATGCAGGAACCACGCTTCAGCAACCCGCCTGCTCGACCTGCCCGCTATGGGTCTGCCCATCCGATCTGCCCGTGTGGTTCTACCACTTGTTTTCTGCTCCTTGCCCCCTCTCCTGCTAATTTCTCTCGTGCTCCATTCTTCTCCCTCCCCGTTCCACCCGTCCTCTCTTCCCTCGTTTCAGGGGCTGCACTAAATACACATGGCTGTAAGGAAGATAAATACCCCCAAGGGGGTGCGATCGAAGACGACAAGAGCAGGTACCGAGGGTGTGGGATAGACGTACTGATTGGCATGTGAGCAGAGACCGAGCAGTCATAAAATTATTGTTGTTGTTATTGTTGATGGTGTTGATGCTGCTGATGGTCATAGTATTGTTGTTACTATTATTATTGTTGTGATTATCATTGATGTTGCTGATGATGCTGTTGTGGTTGGTGTAACTGTTGCTGTTGGTGGTGTTGGTGTCGTTGCTGTTGCTGTTGCTTTTGATGTTGTTGTTGTTGTTGTTGGTGTTGTTGTTGTTGGTGCTGTTGCTGTTGTTGGTGGTGTTGGTGTTGCGGTTGTGGTTTTGGTTGTTGTTGTTGGTGGTGGTGTTGATGTTGTTATTTGGCGTCGCCCCCCCCGCGACCCGGCCCGCGACCCGCCGCGACCCACCCGCGACCCGCCCGCGACCGACCCGCGACCCACCCGCGACCCGCCCGCGATCCCTCCCGCGACCCGCCCGCGACCCACCCGCGACCCACCCGCGACCCACCCACGACCCACCCGCGACACACCCGCGACCCAACCGTGACCCACCCGCGACCTGGTCCGCGACCCACCCGCGACCCACCAACGAGCCACCCGCGACCCACCCGCGATCCACCCGCGACTCACCCCGCGACCCACCCACATTGCTTGAACGAAAAATCGGCGCCTGCCGCGGGCCCATTGTAGAATTTGTACAAATTAAACGC